ACCATGGTGTTTGGTGTGCTTGACTGGCCAGCAAACTCGCCAGACCTGAACCCCATAGAGAATCGATGGGGTATTGTCAAGAGGAAAATTATCTTTTCCTGCTCATCTGAAAATGCAGATGAGCTGAAGGCCACTGTCAAAGAAACCTGGGCTTCCATACCACCTCAGCAGTGCCACAAACTGATCACCTCCATGCCACGCCGAATTGAGGCAGTAATTAAAGCAAAAGGATCCCCTACCAAGTATTGAGTACATGTACAGTAAATGAACATACTTTCCAGAAGGCCAACAATTCACTAAAAATGTTTTTTTATTGGTCTTATGAAGTATTCTAATTTGTTAAGATAGTGAATTGGTGGGTTTTTGTTAAATGTGAGCCAAAATCATCACAATTAAAAGAACCAAAGACTTAAACTACTTCAGTCTGTGTGCATTGAATTTATTTAATACACAAGTTTCACAATTTGAGTTGAATTACTGAAATAAATGAACTTTTCCACGACATTCTAATTTATTGAGATGCACCTGTATCTATATACACGCACACTATGTACATGTAGTTTTTTACATTATATAGTTAACATACAGTGCACAGTGCACAAAAGAACAAGACTGTTTGATACTGCGTTCTACAATGCAACATGTTTTGACCTTATAGTTCCAAGAGCCTACTGTAATGTCAGCTGTGATATTTAACATGTCTTAAGTCATAATTTTAACAGACTACTTAATGTTAATATGAAAATGCCTTCAAGTCTGTGTAACACAAAAGGAAAAAATTTAGAAGAATGTGCAGGTTGCTCATTTCCATGCAATTACAATAAAACTGAAGTGATCCACGTAATAAAGTTGCACAATTTGGATAAACATGACAGCGAGTAAATTAAAAAAAAATTTTACAAAAAGATTCCACTGCATAACTGGATGCCACATAATAAGTGTCCATACAGTATGTACTGCACAGCAGTACCCAGAATTCATTCTGAACAGAGACAATTGGACTCATTGGGATTGGAGATTGGCATTGTATTCCGGTTTAGGGCAACATGATTTTTTTAGACAGAGAACTCATAGGATGGTTGAAGGAGAAACTGAATGTTCCTATCCTAACTTGTATTAGAGATTTTGACAAGTTTAATTAGTTTCAGCTTTGGCCTGGTTCTATGTATGTTTATCACAATCAAAGCAAATTCCACCAGACGCAGCACAAACTCGACAAAAAGGCTTCTCCTCTGGAGACCCCTGCGATTCAGCACACCGCATCTGGTGTGTCTGAAAGATTCGCAGAGCACCAAAGCATCCTAAAGTCAGCATCTCTCCTGATAACAGAGGGCTCCAGCAGACTAAAAAATAGAGGCTAACTTTTAGACCAGCTGCTCTTTCAGCCTAACAAAAACAGACTGGCAGACCACCTTGGGGAGGGGGACGGAGCACATCTTTATGGCTATATTGTTGTAAAAAAAAAAAATAAATACTGGTTTCAGCAGTAAGCTAATATTAAAGTAAAATTATGACCAGTAAAAGATCAGAGCATCCTTACATAATAGGAAACAGCACATGTACATGCAACACTGCTGCTGCGGAGGATATTTTCACCTGATTCACCCATCTTCTGAGATGATACTAAAGAACTCAACGATTCATTATTCTCATTTAGATATATAAAAGACGAAGAGGCAAACAATCTTTCGAATCCGTGCAATGTAATGCCAAGGCTTCAAAGGCTATGTGGCAGATGTGTCTTTGATGGGGAGTATAAATATAAGCATAGGATGCGCGATGTCCATGTCAGATGAAGGTTATTCTTCTTACTTTGGGCTCATTTTTCGCAGCTTCCCCGGCGAAAAACGCACACATCAAGTAAATATTACAAATCATTTAGCGCAAAGTATTTAAAAACGCATATTACTGCCGTTGTCTTACCGTAAAAGCCGTTTTAAGCGTCACTTACGCCAATACTGCGTCTCTTCCAACACCTGCAGACACTTTGACGTCACTTGAAAGACGTGTGACGCCAAGAGGGGCGGGGTCAGAGCTTTGATTGACGGCTCGGAGAACTAATGCTAACAATGCAGTCCCACCCACAGGACGTTAAATATTCAAGAAGCATTAAAACCAGCATCATTCATTATGTAGGAGCGTGGCTTCGGTCTCTCCATAATTAATCAATAAAAATGGTCGCAGAAAATGAGCAGCTGACACAGGGTTTTGTTTACATTAAAAGTGCAGGTCAGTGTCCTTTTCACCATGCTGATATGTAAGCAAGGTTTGACTCTTTATTGGTCATGTTTCTTTTAACAAATCACCATGGCAACCATGGCTAACGCAAATACAGTATAGTTATTATTGTTATTACTGTAAAATCATAATAAAAAGCGTCACTTACGCCAATACTGCGTCTCTTCCAACACCTGCAGACACTTTGACGTCACTTGAAAGACGTGTGACGCCAAGAGGGGCGGGGTCAGAGCTTTGATTGACGGCTCGGAGAACTAATGCTAACAATGCAGTCCCACCCACAGGACGTTAAATATTCAAGAAGCATTAAAACCAGCATCATTCATTATGATAAATTTTTTTTAGCCAATCAAACGCTTTCTAGAATGAGAATCAGTCATTATAAAACTGCATATCACCAAGGAGGCCTGTAATACCTGGAGAGATATGGTTAGCATTAGCATCGAAGCTAACCAGACAAATTTGTACCTATCTCTGGTCTTTATGTGCTCAGCAGCAATTTATGAATGATTGCTTAAAACCACACATTATTTAATAATTTTTATTGCCAATTCAGAACAATCTGAATTAAAAATAAAAAGTATTTTTGGCTCTGACAGTGGAGAACACAAACACACTGTGATAAACCAACTTTATCTGGAACACATTTAACATCAATCTGGCTACAGATTCTCTTCAGCACTGCTGACTATTCTTAAGTAGGGAATTTATTTATTTATTTTTAATTACAAAATGTATGTATCACAGTTCCATGTTTTTAGCATACTAAAGGTGAAGTGTGTAATTTCTCGGCTATTGCATATGAAAATAATCATTTTCAAACCAGTTTCTCAAGCTTTTTCTGATTGGTCAGAAAAAGAGGTAGCCAAACCCCAATAAATAAAACACATAATATAATATTATCTGGAAATCATTCATATATAATCTTGTAATTAATCTCAATTTCCAACCAATGGAAGCATTTAGAATGAAATAGTAATTTTACATTTGGTAAATTTTAACTAATTCAAATGCATAACTTTTATTTATTTATTCTACACAATTTTCTCTGACCACAGTTTGGTTTATGCAGTTTAGTTTACCATATTTAAAATGAAATTAAAATTCCTCTGTAATTTCATTGCATGTTTCTGGAATATTTTGAGGCAAAGATCTCTGAAACTGATGACAATATGAAAATTTCCAACCAATGGAAGCATTTAGAATGAAATAGTAATTTTACATTTGGTAAATTTGAACTAATTCAAATGTATAACTTTTATTTATTTATTTATTCTACACAATTTTCTCTGACCACAGTTTGGTTTATGCAGTTTAGTTTACCATATTTAAAATGAAATAAAAATTCCTCTGTAATTTCATTGCATGTTTCTGGAATATTTTGAGGCAAAGATCTCTGAAACTGATGACAATATGAGAGCAGGATCTTAAGGATCAGTTAGTCAAAGCCCTTTATGTAAAGTGGACACGCATCTGGCTCAGAGTAAGGGTTGTTTGTGCTGATCTAGACCAGAACTTCCTGTTTAAATCCACCTACAGTAACTATAAAAGCTGGAAAGATGTCAGATCCACTTCAGCTCTTGCAGTGGAGGCAGCCAGACACAATCTCCAATTTTACAATCTCTCTCATGGGCATAGCAGAGTAAATCAACATAAAACACTCATTCACTAGTGAGCGTCAAATTTAGAGTTGTCATCATTTGATAAACTTTTAGTTTATTAATTAACCAGATAAAATATCAACCCTGTTCCTATTTCTATAATCATAATGTCTACATAGTGCTAATGTGTCAAGAGGTATAAAGGTATTTTGCACATTTTGCATGTCTCCTTTCTCTGGCACACCAATTTCAGATCTTGGAGTCTCTACTAATCAGCTGATGACCTGAATCAGGTGTGTTTGATTAAGGAGACATGCAAAACGTGCAGTGTTGGGGTGCCTCCAGGACCAGGGTTGGGAACCACTGGTCTAATGAGCCCACTATTTTGGCTTTTAGATTACATTTTTTCTTTTTTCTTCAAAACAAGATTATAAACAGATAGATTAGTGACTGCACTTTGGAGTCTTGCTACATTAAAATGAAATCAACATCATCCTGAGGTTGTCAGCAATCACAAAGTTATCGCTAACCTGTTAAGGCAAGACACTACAAGCAAAACCATTACTGTATGTACTGGTTAATTCTGCTTCTATGTCTTCTTTCAGACTAGTGGAAAGAAAACATACAAATTAACATTAAAGTGTTTATCTATTACACATGATCTATTTGTGTCTGTAGATTTCAATTACAATACATATTTTCAAAGGCCTTTTTCTTAAAAGTCAGAAATCTCCACGTTAGCATCACGTATATATACACCGAGCTTTACAGTCGATATATAAGGTTTTTACAGAGAGGTTTGTATATATATCATTCGCCTGATTTATATAACATTTTATTCCTAAAATCATAGTGATTTTATTTATTTATCAAATTTTTTTTTCTGGCTGTTGACAGAATTTTCTGATGTATGGAGTGATAAAAAGAGAAATCCAAAATGCCCTCTGTAAAAACTCTATGAAGTCAACAAAATGAATTTTGAACCAATGTTCAGATTTCTGTTCTGGAAATGAGTGCAGATATTAATTATATAATGTTTCTTTTACATATTTTAACATAACATTTCAGAAAACGTGTAATACAAAAGTATTATTATTATTATTAATCAGTGATTAATCAGCTGGGGAAGTATGGTGATTAGTTATTATTAGTATTAGTTAATTTTTTTTTTTACTCTTTTCACCTGTGGTGTCTTGCCTTAAATATTTCTCGCAGCTGTCCCGTTTCATTCAACTAAGTTATTTCTCAGTGGCAAAAAAGCAAAAGCATTAAGTTATCCGTTATTAAAAAGGTTCAAGGTAATAAATATCCTAGAGTCGAGAGGAAAAAAAGTTCACATAATGAGTAAATCAGCTTTCCTCTGCAGCTGGCACGGACAGTCACTCAAGGGAAGACTTATGTTTCTCCATGCGACTCTCACATGAGAGCACGAAAACATTCATCTACACCTTCGGCCTCAGTGCTTTCACAAAAGGTTGTGTCTGGGACACAAATCTAGCTTTAAAACACAGGCTTATTTGGTCAAATAAACCGTGGGTCTGTTGTGTTTTTAGTTTTTAGTGTATGGTTGTTCTACTCAACCCCAAATTATTGGTAAGTGCAACTAAGAAACACAAGTGAAGCAGCACTCTTAGTACTGGGCCTTGTTAAGTTTCCTACTGCAGGATGGATACGCTGGTCATTTCTTGGTCCAGTTCTCTTTCGCTGCTGTCTAAAATGCGTGTGACTCCGCGAGGGGACGCTTGCGGATGCCTGGGGTCTGTCATAGTCCTTGATCTGTCTGCATCCGTGTGCTCTTCTTCAGCCTTTAGCTCCCCGTCCTCTTCCTCCAGAGTCAGCTCAAACTGGAACTTTTCTCCGGCTGAGCCTGCGACGCCCAGCGTGGCCCGTGAGTCCTGCTCTTCCGGGGTGGGCGACGGGCTGCGTGGGATCATGCTCTGATACCATTCGCGGTTGTCCTCTAATGTATCTAGAATGTCCTGAGCATCTGGATGGACCAGATCAGCCCATGTCTCCCATAGAGGATGGACAATGTAATCGATGAACCCCACCTTAAGAAGCAATAATTAAACACAGTCATCATTAGTACAGTATAGTACAGGACAGGCTTTTTCAAACTTGTTAATCCCACATATGATGATTCATTTGTGAAGGAGCCGCTTTCTAAAACGGCAACTACATATTTTGACGTATGAACACACATTTATACAGTGTGAGAAATATGGAGTGTAAGATTTTTTAAAATAATAATTGGCTTGTATATGGTCATTTTGCAAATTATTAAAATAGTACCAGAAAATACTTTTTATTTACATCTATATTATACTACATTTTTATTTATTTTTTTAAACTAAATGCTGATTTTTGTCTTACAATTAAAAACTCACATACATTTTAATATCTTATGTCAATATCATAACTTAAACATCTTTTACTAATATCTTAAATGCACATATTAACCTTGACAGTTTTGAAAAATAAATGTTGTAATATTTAACTTTTTTTCTCAATTTTATTTACAGCTATATATTTTTAATGTATAAACACCTATTTATACAATTTGGGAAAAAAAGTGATATTGTGAAGATTTTTTTTAATTATTGGATTTTATGTCATCATTTTGCAAATTATTAAAATAGTATCAGAGAGTTTGTTTTATTTACATCTATAGTCTACTGTTATTTATTTATTAACAAAACTAAATTCAGATTTTTGTTCCAATTAAAAACTACTGCTAATAATAGAATAAAATATTCACAATTCATCTCATGATTTCACGAATCAAATTGAGTGAATGTTGAGTCATTATATTAAACATCTTTTATTAATATCTTAAATGCACATACTAACTTTGAAAGTCCTACAAAAGAAATTTTGTAATATTTCACTTTTTTCTCTAATATTTATATTAGAGACATTTATATATTATATTAATATTTATATTTTTTCATGTAATGAAAATAAACAACAATTTATAGTGTGAGAAAAATATTAAGTGCAATACTATAAAGACCTTTTTTTTTAAAGTACAAAACAGCATACTCAACATACTTATTATTTACATGTATATTCTGCTGTTTATTCATTTATTTATTACAACTAAATGCATTTTTCCCCTTACAGTTAAAATCCATTTATACAGTGTGAGAAAATATTAAATGTGATATTATAAATCCTTTTTGGAATATTTGGCTTTTGTAATTTCACAAATTATTAAAAGAGTATCAGAAAATACTTTTTATTTACATCTATATTCTAATTTTTATGATTTGAAACATATTTTAATAATATCATAATAGACACATTACCTTTGACAGCCTTAAAAAATAGTGTAATTCTTTAAATTTTTTCTCTCAATTTTTTGCCCCCTTGTGACTCTCCCAGACATACCTGCGTTTTTTCCACAGAAGCTGTGTGTTTGTCACACATGGGGCTGATTTCTATGCCCTTGTCACGTTCACGGTCCCCCTGTCTGAAGAGCTCCACCATGATGCGGTCTGTCCACTCTCTGTAGAGCTCCAGGGGTTTCGTGGGGTTGCTGAGGTCAGCGCAGTGAACCATATTCTGAAGCACCTTTCGAAGAAAAGAATGAATAATTTTTACAATTGTGCAAATAGAACTGAAAAGCCAAAAAATGGTCGACTAGTCACTCAGAAATTGACCTAAATAGAGTTGGCAGACTAGAATTGTACTTTGTATTGGTAGAATGAGACGTGCACTACCTGTATCCGGTCTGAGTAGTTGTCCAGCAGCAAGACTCCCAGACTGGTCACTTTTTTAGTTTCCACCATTGTCTTCAGGTCAGCCAGGAAATTCATGTGTTTGGACATATCAGTGGCTAATACCTGGAGAGACAACAGGGAATTTGATAATAGATCTACAAGTATTAAAAACACTGTATTGGAAATACAGTCCCCTCCCCCCATGTCATTCAGCTTCATAACAGCTTCATAACAGTCTTTTCAAATAAAACAACAAAGAGAGACCGGAGTAGTCTGATTCACAAATGAACGACTCTTATGAACTTGACTCACAAAGGAGTCACAGATCACTCATTACCTCAATGAATCATTTAAAAACAGTTACTGAATCTGTGTCATTCACTCATACATCATTACTATCAGACATCTGGTTATGATGTAAAATAAAACATTAACTGTTACTATATTTTCCTTAAATGGATAGTTTGAAAAAATGAAAATTCTGTCATCATTTACTTACCCTCAAGCTGTTCCAAACCGGTATTCCTTTGCTCCAAACCTCAATTTCATTTTTTTTCTTTTTCTGCTGAACACAAAAGTGTGTGAATAACTGGTCCCCACTGACTTCCATTGTCTTTTTTCCACACTTCGGTAGTCAATGGGTACCAGCAACTGTTTGGTTACCAACATTCTTCAAAATATCTTAATTTGTGTTCAACAGAAGAAAGAAAATCAAACTTGAGGGTGAGTAAATGATGATATGACACTCGCTGTGTAAATACTGCAAGTGGAGTAATACAAACGGTAAAATGGTTGGAGTGCTGTTATCACTAGAATATTGCACCACTAGAAAATGCTCTCAGCCAATCAGATTCAAGGACCTGAAAGAACTGTTGTAAAAATAAATATATAATGAAATGTAGTAAGGATCAGTTATTTTGGACTTGTTTAAAATAACTAATAATAAGTGGAATCAGAATGATTACTATAACAATCCCTAGTCTGTAAAGTAAAGTTAAGTGGTCTAAATGGAAGGCATAGGACCATAAAATGTTTGTCCAATCATATCCCTCGGTCCGAGGGCTACAATAGGCTGTCTTACCTGCCTGTCAACATATGTATTTGCATACTTCTGCACACCCTGTTTGCACAGACATGATACGTCATCAGCGCGTTCCATTACGCTATTGCAGACCGAGCGAGAATGGAAGGCATTATTATTGTAATATTATGCACTTTGTACTGTAATGTTTTCTCACCGGTGAATGAGACATGAAGTAATCTGACAACGTTGCATTCAATCCTCCACCAACGCCGTCTCTCACAGTGTCGCTGGTTAGCCTCTGGTCTGCTTGTGCGTGTTCATGGGTTTTGGAGGAGGCGTGGCTTTGCAGAGTGATTATGCAGGGAGGGTGGGATCTTATGCTTTCAAAGCTACCTTGCTATTGCTAGCCTCTCTGAAATCGCCTACCCTACCTTTAATACCGAAGTCCTCCAGTTTCATTCTACAGCAAATACAGTAAATAGCTGAGGCACAATATGAGCAGTTGTGTTTGAATGAAACAAGCGAGAGCGTGGTGGTGTGATATGAGAGACGTGAAAGGAGCGCCGGCCTCAAATACCCGGATGAGCGTTGTGTTATTCGGCATTGCTAATGACGATGATTGTTATCGGGAAATAACACTCCTCGTTTTATATTGACTGACCAATCAGATTCAAGTATTCCTGGAAGAGGTGTAGTAGACATTTATAAAAGTCTCACCATATCTATAGTCATCTGTCGCAGGGACTGTCGTTGTTTCTTGCTGAGGTTGCGGAAGATATCACAGTTCTCCTCCTGGAGAAGCTTGAAGCCCACAGCCAAGTGATGATTCTCCAACACTGAGGCATCATTATACATGAGAGCCAGTTCAGAGTCTGAAAGAGTGAAGAGAAAAATAACATACTATGGTCCCGCTGGCCTTTTAGTAGCGATGCACCGAAATTTTGGCGTATCTTTATTTAAATAACATTTATTTTCGGTTTTGGTTTTCGGCCAAGTGCATTCTGAATTTTTGGTTTCAATCAAGAATTTTAATTTCGGTGCATCAGTTTTTCAAATAGGTGTTCCTGTGTTTGTGTTGAATGGATGTGGGGATGGATTTTGGAGTTATTTTAATAGTTTGTCATTAAAGAGTCGTACTTGTGTTAATAAGGAACTGGTTAGACACTCCTGGATGGTCCACATCATGAATAGCACTTGCAAACAGAGCAGCCATGATCTCAAGGTCTGTGAACACATCCTGAAAAAAAACCCAAAAAACAAATCCTGGTGTTAACAATGGTTACTTCCCATGAGCACTATGCATGTACGCGATCATCCATGCTGACCTCTAGGGCAGGTGTGGAGAGAAGAACGTGTGTGGACTGCACAACATCTGCTGCGTGGATATTGTTATGGTAGGCCATGTCCACATGGTAGTGATCCTCCAAAGTCATGAGGAAAGTTAAGAAGGTGTCCGATGGGATCTTAAAGGTCTTGAGCAAATCTCGCTCCTGACAATTACAGAGTATAAAAATATAGTCAACTGTCAGGTAAATCTGCAGTTAAAACCAGCGTAAAAATATACAGAAAAGCAACAGTAATTTCAGTTAATGCTAAACATACCAATGATAAAATTATGAGATTTTTCTTCTGGCAGGTTTTCTAACAGTTTTTCTATCTGTTGTTTTTTATTCAAGGCTATTTATATTAGCGAACAATAGCGAAGCAGTGAAACATTTATGTCAAGAGACATTTCTAGACAAATGTCTTACCTGAAAAATGGTGTACATTATGACCGTCAGTGGCCGATTCCCAGAATACTCTGCTATCTTAAAAATATCTATACCCCATCGATTGATGTCCTCAAGCTCCTAGAGTGAAAAAGACAGTCATTCTACTCCATTGAAGAGCACTAATAATAATAATAATAACAACAACAACAACAATAATAATATAGCACTATGAATCTCTGAATTTGATGTAATTTAAAGAAAGATATCACAAATACTTTATCGAAATATTTCACAAAAAGTAGTTTGACAATAAATATATTTAAAAAAAAAAATTTAATTACTAAATAATATATATATATGTGTGTGTGTGTATATTTAAACAAAATTATTTATTTCATTTTTATTTATTTTTTCAGTGGGAAGTGTTATTTGCTTGTTTACTGAACAAACCAGGAACCATGATTTTTGACTAATATAAAAATGCACTTAAATTAAAATGAACACAAAAAGAGTGACTTGTGAAAGGTGTGTAAATGAATAAAAACGTAAAAATCAATGGGCATTTTTATATTTATTATGCATGTTTCTAGTTATTACAAGCTCTAAATTATTTTATCAGGTAGAAATTGTGAGTAAAAAAAAAAAGAATACATACATACATATATTAATATATGTTTATACTGCTGTGGACAATTAGAGTCAAAAAGGGTGAGACCCACTGGTGTATTCTTTATGGAAGTCTGTTTCCTCTATAGAATAAAAATTTTTTTAAATCAGACTTTGTTTCTTGCAGTTCTGAGAAAAAAGTCAGAACTGCGAGATATAAGCACAAAATTCTGACTTTTTTTCTCACAATTCTGACTTTTTCCCTCTGAATTCCGAGTTTACATCTTGCAATTCTGTTTTTTTTTTTTTTCACCATGGAATCAAAAATTAAAAGGAGATTTAAAAAATTTTGATTTGGTAAAAGGCAATCGCAATTCTTAGTTTATTTCTTACAATTCTGATCTACAGTAGAACTGACAAAGAGTGAAATGAAGGGACACCTCGGCCAAGAGGCTCTCATGTTGTGTGTTGACACCAAATCGAGGGATGCATGTTGGAGGGAGACTCGGACTGGGGCTCAGTTTTCTCACTCCACTTATCTGAGACATCGGACGGCGTTTTTTCTCCTCCTTACACGCTGCTGACAAAATCTCCACATCATGCTGTTTTTCTGCAACACAAACCACAGAGTATGTGAAAAGCCCTGAGCTAAATTCAGATTGAAAGGAAAGACACAATTTGGGAAAATAGAAGAAAAATACTACATATATATTCCTCTGAATTAATGCTGAACACACAATGTTATCATAAATCCAGTTCCTAAATTTGTAAATTACATTTAAATGACGAAGTCACTCACGTAAAATTGTGCTTGCTATGAACTCCGACACTTGGTTTCCTGACCGGCTGGTCTCTGACAGCTGAGTAAGTTCCCTGTTGAGCATTCTTTTAAACTAAAAATAATACAACAAATAAAATTAACAAAACATTAGAAACATTATATTCTCAATTATATTCATATAGCCTATATTCACACTCATTATATTCTATATTCTCGAGTTTGGGAAATAAAATTTTTAACAACAACTGATAAAACTTTAAAGACAGACTAGCTTCGAGGTTGTTAATCGATTGTATGTGCTTTTGTTGGACCCATCTGTTTGCATTAATTCAACTTATTTTTAAAAGAATTATGTGGAATAGGAATTTGAATTTGTGGTGAAAAACATCTCAGTTACGTATGGTAACCCTCGTTCCCTGATGGAGGGAACAGAGACGTTGTGTCGAGTGTACGACACTAGGGGTCGCTCTTGGGAGCCCAAACACCTCTGACATCTTTGAGAAAAGGCCAATGAAATTGGGTGTACAGAATTTACATAGCTGGCCACGCCCCGGACATCCGGGTATAAATAGGCCAGCGTGGCATCTGCTCACTCGATCTCTTCTGAGGAGTCGAGAAGCGTCTCAACCCACTCAGAGGTA